GGCGCCATAGGGGTCGGGTGCATTGTGTGCCGGGTGGCGGCCAGGAGCGGAGGCCCTGGCGGACTGACCCCCGGCTGCCAAGACTGGCAATAGGGACATAAAGTGACCATATCACATAAATTTATTATAAATTAAAAAGTAACAATTTTGAGCTGAAAGTGATGAGAAACAAAAAGGAGCTCTGTTCGGTTTACTGCTTAATTTCAAAAAGCAGCTTTTACACATTGTTGCCCCCCCACCCCCACCCCAATTTCACTGAGTCATTCCCGGCGCGTTGGGAGCTGCAGATGTTAGGAATGGTTAGCGTTGCAGTATGAATCATACCAGAGCCTGTTTGTGCCTGGAGAGGTGACGGTTATTTCTGGCTGTTCGGTGAAGCGGTGGAGGCGTGAAGCCTGAAACGTGTCCATGTTCTGTCTGTCAGGCACACGCTGAGATTTTGGAACGCCGCCTTTTTCGATGCCGTCCATTGTGAGAGGAAGAAAAGATCTCCGACCACGAGGTGAGTCTGTTTAACGCTAGCTTTGTGTAAATGATGGAAATATGAATCTCTAGAGTTTAAAGGAGCTCCTATTGCTTTGTCACTTCCTGTCTAAATGAAATATTTGCTACTGTTGCCTCTAGCCCCCTCTTCACCTGTTTCCTCCTTTTCTCTCTTCTTTCTCCTCCTTTCCTTCCTCTCTTTTCTCCACCTGTCTGCTCTCCTCTCCTTCTTCTTCTCTAAAAGCTGCTGTTGTTCTCTCTTTTTCTGCATGCTGACTTTAACCCTTTGTCTCCTTGTGCCTTGCTGCCGGGCAGGGGAACGCAGGATGAAGAGAAAGACGTGAGGTCTGTCCCTCTGTTTGTCCAAAAAAACAAAAAAAAACAAGCAAAGATCAAAGTTTAGGTGGAGGAGAAGGCAAAGGGCAGATCTTCATGATGACTAAACCTGAAGGGGACAGAGAGCTTTGAGAATGTCAATCTAAATGACATAGGTCTTTACATAGGTCTCTGCTGCTGCCATACTGCACTTTGCATGGTACATACCACTTCCTGCTAATATACAAACTTTATTAGGGATACCTTGTTAGTAGAGCTGCCGTAATTCTTCATGGAAGAGATTTCGTGCATGTTGACACGTTAGCATCACAGAGTTGCTGCAGTGATGTGAATCTCCTGTTCCACCACGCCCCGAAGG